GCCTTGGTGAGATCACTCCTAAATATTGTGTAGCTTTGATCTCCTTACCTAAGAAAGGATGCACCTGACTCAGCATGAGTGCATCAGTGGTTCAGTCGATTAATGGGATGGTGGGATTGTCCTAGGAGGAGGGAGTGAGGCAGCTGAGCCTATATTCTCAGTTTTGAACAATGTGCAATGATCTCGTTGAAAAATCTAAAATTCTCGCAGGGTGACAAGGTACATGTAGATAGGATGCTCCCCCAGGATGGAGTCTAGAACTAGTGGTCACAGGCTTAGAATAATGGCAAACTATTAAAGATCGAGATTAGGAGCATGTTTACTCAGAGCATGGTGAATTTTTAGAATTCTTTACCCAGGGGTCGGTGGTAGTTTAAGCATTGACTGTATTTAAGACAGAAGTTGATAGATTTCAGAATATTAATGATATCAAGGGATATGGAGATAGTGGGGAAAATGGCATACATCTAGATAGATAGTAAATCATGATCCATTTGCGTAGTGAAGCAGATTAAGAGGCCAAATGGCCCACTTTTGCTCCTATGTGTGTATGAAATCCATTTAATTTTGTATCTCTTTGTACTGTATAAACCAGGAATTTGTGAAGATTCAGCAAACTCCAATGGTTGCTATATGCCTACATGCCATCAGCATAGGAACAAGTGTTTTCAATTGCATTGGGTTACTAATCCACTACCATTACTGCCATGTGATTGCAAGCTCAAAGTTTCCCGGTTTATTAGAGAAAGAGTACCTATGAAGGTTTAGCTATAATTTGTACTTAATTTAGTGGAGACTGTGAGAACTCAGTCCTTTTTTGAAGGATGAACAACAGTTAGCTGATCTGCACAAAATTCAGAGAGCAAGAGCGTGAGATAGAGAGATGGAGCAATAGGCATTGCAACCACAAAGAGGAAGCTAATGGCCAAATGGCAGGACCCTGAACATCACTAATGTACAGCAGGATCTTAGAGTTCAAGTCCATAGCTCCCTGAAAGTGGCCACACGACTCGATAGGGTATAAACAATGGGTACAGCATGCTTGCCTTCATTGGTCGGGGCATTGACTACAACAGTCAGGATGCTATGTTGCAGCTTTATAAGACTTTGGTTAGGCTGCACTTAGGGTATTGCATTTAATTCTGGTTGTCACATTACAGGATGAATATGGAGACTTTGGACAGGATGCAGAAGTAGTTTACCAGGATGCTGCCTGGATTAGAGGGTATGAGCTATAAGGGGAGGCCAGAAAAACTAGGGGTTGTTTTCTCTGGAGCGACGGAAGCTGAGGGGAGACTTGATATAAGTCTATTAAATTAATGAGATGCATAGATTGAGTTGACAGTCAGAATCTGTTTCCCAGAGATGAAATGTCAAATACCTGGGGGCATGCAGTTAAGGTGATGTGAGGAGATGTTAGGGGCAACGTTTTTCTTACACTCAAGAGTGCTGGGTTTCGGCGTGCACTGCCAAGGGTGGTGTTGGAGGCATTTAATATAGGGATGTTTAGATAAGCACAACAAATAGAAGAATATGGACCATGGGCAGGCAGAAGGAATTAACTTAATCTGGTGTCAAATTTGGCACAACATTGTGGGCCAAAGGGCCCGTTCCTGTGCTGTACTGTTCCATGTTCTTAATTTCGCCAAAGGAATCACAGTCAGTTCACAGTGTATGCTATTATTAATGCTGGAATCAGTCAGTGGGACCAAGCTGAGCATTGTGAATCACTGAGACCTGCTGTTTTATTTGGTGTTACTCCACTGTTAGTTTCACACTAAACAGTACAGATGCCTGTTATCAATAAGAACATGTCAGATTTGCACATCAAAGTCACGTTAAAATTTGTCAATGAGGTAGCACTGGTCTGTAAGAAAGTAAGTGTCCTTTCAACAGCATGGAGAGTTGTTAATGCAACATTTTGATCAAAATTTCCATTCCAGAAAAATTATTGAATTTCATTGACACATTGTAAATTCTTGATTTGAGATTTTAAAAAATTAAATTTCTAAATATTTTCATTACTTTCTTTTTTCGCCTCTTAATCCAGTCTTCCTTTCCCTCTCTTTCTGTACCTTTAAAATCTGCATATTTTCTTCATTAGTCTTTAAACCTCACCAGTTGAGAGGATGGACTATCACCCTCATTATTCACTAAGGTCCCAAATACCTTCCTATTTTCGCTGTGCTGTTATAATTTAACAATGCCAGCAAGCTGAAGGCAAAATAAAACTGTAGTGTGATGAAAGGGGCACACCACAAGATATCACACAGTCACAAAATCTGGACACTAGTAGGTCACTTTGCATGCAAACTATTGGAAAACCTAAAGTGTAGTGGAGTGTTACAATAAGCTAATCAGCAGAAATTAAAATAATTAGAGATCAGGAAAGCAGTCAAGACAGCAAAGCAGCAGTCTTTAGTCCCGTCAAAGCACATATGCCCAGCTGAGCACCTGGCTACCCATGTGCTTTCAGCACTGATCTGCCTCTGCCTCACGACAGTAACTTAGCAGCATGAAACGAGGAGGAGTATACACAGTAAGTATACAGAGATATGCTCTTCCAAAATGATTCATGCCTAGGCCACAAATAGCACAGGGGCTTCACTAGAACTGCAATTGCGCATCTAGACAAGGATCTTTAAAAAAAAATGCAAAAACAATACTTGGCCACCCACAAAATGTAAAGTCCTTTCAGGGGGAGGGAGTTGGGAGACAATATTTAATGATGACACAAATTTTAATTTGTGCCAAAAGCTGGGATACCCATCACATTTTCATGAAAGGCTGAGATCTTGCCCAACACTACCCTTACACCCACCGTCATGTTTGACACCATTCTTCACTCCACCACTATCTGAGCAATTGGTAGATAATGAATCAATTCCATTAGATTCATGAAATAGTAGGTCCACAGTGGATCGCTTGTGCCTTGTGCATCATGGAGTGGGCAGTTTCTACTGAGGCATAGATCTTTCTGCAAATAGTAGGAGGCAATATTTTTATTCAAATCCTTCCAAAGATTCACTCCTCCTCATCCCTATAAACCACCTCCAGTCCTGCAACCATTCATTACTCCAGCCAGATATCAGTGTTGTAGGTCAATCGCCACTTTTTGCCAATTGGCAGCCACACCTTCAGCAATGTACACTCAGAAGATTAATTCATCCAAAAGGTAACCTAATCAACTTTCTCTAGACTCAGTATCCTGTCTGATGCATGTTATGCTAGGCAGTCGTGTCTGTTCAGGCATAGGCACAAGAAATTGTGATCTACAATGTGATCGGTTCAGTAGAACAATCCCTTCTGCCCCTTTTCTTTATTTGACAGAGATTCCTTTCTTCATGCAAATTTGATTCCTCTACAAAACACAGAACTTGATCTTGGAGCAGCTTCCACAGACCCTGATAGAGATGAAGGCAAGAATTAATGCTACTTGTTCAAATACAGGCAATGAACATTAACAGGCTATTGGACAGCGAAGGGCCAACCTTGCTATAAATTTCAAGCCTAACCTGATGTGTTTACATACAGGACTGAGAGGGGAGGGTTACTGTATAGCAGACAGAAGCCAGGAAGTGTAGGTTTTGCATTGCAGACCCTTGACAACAAATACTGAAACTGATCTTGTGGCTTCAACACAATCCTAGCTTATTACATTAAGCAAGCCTGGAACTGAAACTGAACCTTTAATAGAGCCCTTTTGAAGGACTATTAGAAGTTCTGGGTAGCACAACTTTGGAAGGCTATATTACCCTTGGAGGGAGCAGAACATGGGTTTACAAATGATACTGGACTTCAGGGGTTAAGTTATGAATGATAATTAAAGGTCTATTTCCTCTAAAAATTTAGATGGTTAAAAGGGTGATCCGATCAGTCTTCAAGACGTTATATAGGGTAAACTATTTTTAACTGATTTGGAATTCTAGAACTAGTGGGCAGTTGGAGAATTGGGACCAGATCATTCAGGAGAGACATTAGGAAACACTTCTACACACAAAGGGTGGCAGAGGTTTGGAACTCTCTTCCGTAAATGGCAGTGGATGCTGGATCAGTTGTTAAATTTAAATCTGATAATTTCTTTCATAAAGCAAATGTATTAAGGGACACGGGCCAAAAACAGGTATATACAGTTAGGCCAGGGATCAGCCATGATCTCATTGAGTGGCAGAACAGGCTCAAGGGGCTGAATGGCATACTCTTAGTCCTATGTTTCTGCTGAGTACAGACTGTTCGCATGAAATAGACTAACCCACCAAGAGGAGTGATCTAAACACACTCTCAAAAATATAAAATGTGTTCTGCAAAACACAGTTGCTGCTCAAACAAGCGTAAATGAATTTGTGACGTTAAAATGGTTTCCTAGTAAGTGAAGTCATTCAGGTTTATATCTTAAAGGTCAGGAATGGCAAAAAAAAAAAAAAAGAAAATCGCAGAACTTCAATATACAACTGTCCCTGATTTAGCACTCTTAATTTTTTTTTTTAAATAAACAACATGCTATATTAGGACCACTTACCCTTAAGAATAGGATGGTCTACATTCCTTACTTATAATTTTTACTTTAAAAACTCATTGGTCATCTTCAATCGAACGGGCTTAAAAATTCTCTAGTTCTCAGTAACCTTTCCCTCTCCTGAAATCTTGCTGTGGTGGTGGCGGGAGGGGAGGGGTGGTGTCCAGTGAGGTAGCGAGTAAAGCAGCTGCATTTTTTGTTTTTTTTATACAAAAAGATTGAGCATGCGCAGTGTCTATGCTAAAACAAAAATAAAGTAATGCTGTCCCCTAATCTACAAAGAGCAACAAAATGAAAGTGTGCTGCTGGCATTTGCTTTCAGAGGGAATACCTCTACTTCCAGGCAATGACTATTTTTCCAATTTCTTCAGAAAACAGTTGAACTTCTTCAAAGCAAGCTCCTTACTGACTGTGCAGAAGACCCATTAAAAGGAAATTAGTAGTTAACTTTGGTCACGGTTAAACAAATTACAAAGCATCACAATTCTCCATAAAAAAATTATTGTTTTAATCAGGTACACCACATCAAGAGTGTCTTCATTTTCTGACTTTCTAGGAGAGTGGACTGACATACAATATGTTACAAAACACTGGAGATGGTGGGAGAAAATAGAAATTGAGAAAAACAAACAAACAAAAAAAAAAAACAACTTAATAAAATAAACTCAAATCAAGTCTTCATCAACAAAAAAAAAAAAAAGGTTACCTGCACCATTACAAAGCAAGAAAAGGACCATTTTGGTCACAAAGAACAGTAGCACAATGAATTATATTTCTCCTTCAAGTTTAATTCCCCATTTATGTGATAGCCAGTAAAACCCCAGAAATGTGTAACAATTCAGAAGTCGGCAGAAACATAAGCTTACAGGCATTTGCCTTTCAGACAACAAATACAAATTCAAGTATTTTAGACAAAAGCAAAATACTGTAGATATCAGAAATTGGAAATAAATACTGAAATTCTCAGCAGGTCATGCAGCATCTGTCGAGACAAACAGATTTGCCATTTCAGGTTAATGATGCTTAGCGTATTTCAGCACTTTGTTTTCATTTCAAGTTCTTGAGAGTCAGGACCAAGCAATCCATACAAAGCTTCAAATTTCAGAGTTAGTAAGCATTTAATCTTTCTGCCTCTCTAAGTAATCAAAAAACATCTACATGTACAACCATTGAAAAAAAAAAAAATTGGCTATAAAGACTAATTGACCACAATCTTAGTGTGAACCATTATGTCTATATTGGTTCCTTGAAGCAGTGGGTTACAACAACAACAGCAATGACCCAATTCGTGAATGATATTAACACATTTTCATTATATATCTCCTGAATCTAGAGGATAGTATCATGGATACTCCTACCCACTTTCTATGTGTAGGTCTTACTTTAGCCAACATTACTTGCATCTACAAAAAACTCACACAGCTGCCACTTGTCCTTCAACTTAACCTGAAAATACTCTTTATGGCTTGGCACTACTGGTATTTAATGTTAACACCTAAATCTCTGCACTCAGTGTTCCCTCAAAACAAAAATACAGCAGGTTGACATTAAAGAGGTCCAACATATGTCTTAGCAATGAAAATGAAACTCAAAACAAAAAAGATTAATGTTTTGCATCCTGAAACTTTTCACGTTAAAATGCATTGATAAAGCGGCTTTTAATGAAGATCGATTCTGGAGCAGATTCAGTTTATTGAGCACAGGAGATGCCCTGGTCTCAAAGTAAACACAAATAATTAAACCTCAAATATGGACTCAAGATACTGGAAATGTGCAGAAACTCTTATTAGAATTTGTAAAAGGCTGTGGCATGGGTGCACCCTTTCATCAGTAACAGGAACTGAAAGTAGTAGTGCGAACTTAATGGAAATTGAACGACGAGTGAGAGAGGTAGTGGGTGGAGGAAAACAGTGGCAGAATTTGTTATCTCCTTGTTTGGTTCCAGTTTGGCAAAACAAAGAGCTCATTCTTCTTCCAATTCAAATGAAATAACTTACACCAAAACCAACCAAAAAATTGCAGATGGATGCAGTGATCACATCTAGGCAACAAGATAGCAGAGGGACAGAGAAAAGGTCAACCTGTACGATTAAATTTAAAGGAAATAGGACAAAAAGAGAGAGAAGGCTCAAATTATTAAAAAGACAAGCGATTGTATAGAATAGACTTCTGGAAAATTAGTGGAGGCACAAGATCCTAGAGTTGTTTCTTTAAAGAAAAAACTGGATGTTGTCAATGACAGAAAGGCAACTGGGAGAAAAAAGGATCTGCAAGATTTTTATGTATAACTAAAATAATATGGCTTGTTTGGTCTGCATCATTATCCTTCCTTCTTTTCTGAAAGGATTCTGGAAATACAAAGTCAATCCATCTTTATTTAGCATAGCTTCCTATTCAGAATAAATGACAGAATGATTAAAAGTACTGGTGAAATGAAACTGCAGGTTTCACAGAACAACTCCTTTGGGTCAAGTGAGCCTAATAAAGGAATATAAATTGTTCAGAAGTGTTGAAATGTAATGCAATGCAATAACTCAGTACAATCCAAATCCACAAAAGAATTTAAATTGCCCTTTCACCAAATCACACAGCTACCACAAATGCATTTTGCATTCAGGCAAGGTTCCCCAGTAATGACCGTCATATCCATTCAGAAAACTGATGAATTGCAAACACTTGTCAGCCCCTTGCTCAAACCTAAGAGTGCCTGCAATTTTTGTAAAACCAATCCAATGGAACATCATGGGTTAGCAGGTAAAGTCCCTTCAGTGCACGGACATTAATACGAAGATTTCTGTATCTTAGGCACAACAGTGAACATTTTGTTCCCCAGCTTCTTTCCCATGTCAAAAAAGTTATTTGGCAAAATGATGCTCACAACAAGGCAAGATTTGCCTTCATTCTTACATTTCCAAAGTAAAATGCAAAATGTATTCTATTATTGGATTGTATTTCTTTACCAGAGATACTTGAGCACAAACATTTAATAAGGAATCCACTTATTTTAAAATAAAGCATTGGCAAAAATAAGTGCTGAAAAACGTTGTATTGTCACCAAAAAGAAAAGTGTCATTTTGCTTTCAACAATTATCATAAGACCTTGACTGATATTCCCTTCCCATAAACAGTAAATATTAAAGTCAATGCTAAATTTCAGTAGAGGATTTCTACTGCTTGGCCTTCAGTCAGTGTGGTCTGCTGTTGGAGTCCGAAGTGTCTCTCTTGCATGAAAGAGTGTAGCCATTCAAATAACCATTCTGACGTTTGCTCAGTCCACCATTGAGAAGGTCTTGGATATGCTGCACTATCAAGTTTATGGCAACTAGAGGGAGGAATTAAAATAATCGTAAAAATAAACAGGAATTAATTCTTGTACATTACTATGTAAACTAAGCATCCTAATGATACAGAGTTAGCCAGGTCCTCTGCCAGAAACTCCCTCTCTGTTGCCACTATTAAACCTTTAAAACAGACAGGTTTTATAATGTGCAATAAGTAGAATTTGAAAAGTACTTTTTGTTCTATTTTACAATTTCAGATACGAAATGGATAGAGATAAAATGAATCCTTGAGGGAATGCAATAGTTATAAGCATGTGGAAGATGATTATTGGCTAAATAATTCAGATCACAGTACAGTACAGTGACAAAGTACAATTCTTGCTCTAGCTAAAGTGAGCACTGCAAGAACCATGGAGAAATAGCATCAACACAGCCTAATCAAATCAGAAGTACATTATGCAGTCCAAGACAACACAGATTACTTCCTCATAAAACAGCATGTTGGATGCTATGCATTCAGAGCATTTTCACCTAAGAAACAGTATTAGTGCTCCATAAGTTTCTAATTTGCTCTGGTCAGACTCAAAGCTACAGCTTAGTCTAGCAAATTATTCAGCGCTATTTTAAACAAGTTCAAAACTGAGATGGGCTTGAGACTTCTTATTAACACACCGATAATGTTAAATAAACCTCAAATGTTAATGTCCCAATATTTGCACATGATAAAGATGTTCAAGTGTAGAAATGTCTACTTTAAGAGCTAGTCCTTTGTGTAATTCAGAATCTAAGAAATTACACATTGGCAAAAACAGATAAATTATTTATAGTTGACACATTCCTGCTCTCTCTCATTCTTGTTTCCTAAGTCACCATATTCTTTGAAACTACAGGTTCTGCTCAAACTCAGGACCTGTAAAGTTAGCAGTATTTCCCATAATCCCAAAAGGAACTGATACGGCTTTCAAATGTTTAAAACATCTATATGATTATTTTAACATATGCTTCACAAAATTCAGTTTGGCCCAAACAGAAAACAGTCAGTGCAAAGTAGATAGCTTAAGTGGTAAATTCAGGATTGGATGCGCACCAGAACTATCTCAAGACAGTATGTTGTACTAGAAGAATGTTCACCTCACTAACTTCACAAGATGCAAAATGAGTATGGGGTAAATTTTGTGACTGGTGTAAAAAGAGCAATCATTGATCAGTGATAACAAGCTGTAGAGCTGGATGAACACAGCAGACCAAGCAGCGTCAGAGGGGCAGGAAAGCTGATGTTTTGGGTCTAGACCCTTCTTTATTTCTGAAGGAGGATCTAGACCCGAAAAGTC